CAAGAAACATCGCAAGAGGCAAGACCTGTCTCTTATACACATCTAGATGTGTATAAGAGACAGTATATATATATATATGTATATAAAAATAGGCATATATTGAATAAATTTATCTTCATTTATTTATTATTCAATTAATTTTATGTTCTAATCATTAGACTTAATACAAAGATTATATGAATATGCTGATTAATTTTGCTAGAGTTGGACACACAACTGAAATGGAAGAGCAACTACACATGCTGTACCTTTAGATGTTTTTTGTTGTTTCGGATCACTGCCTGGCTTCACCTTGGGTTCTAACTGATCATTATCGGTGACGTATGCCACGTCTGCGACAACTACTTCCTGTCCATCTTCTCGATCCTGATCATTAGACTCCCTAACTGCAAATTTCTTTGAGGTTGAAGGCTTGTCAAAGTCGCAAACTATAAGAAAAATACATAAAGTAAAATACTTGCTTAAACAAAAAATAATAATAATAGTATAATTGCCATTGCATTTGTTATCTTCAGGTTTTGTTATTATTTTTGTTTGAATATCATCATTATAATTATTTATATCGTTTGATTTTAACTTAATTGTATTTAAAATAAAAAACAATGCGACAACATTTTTATACATGACAATTAATAGCAAAATTTGATTAAAATGTATGATGAGTTTTGAAACATATGTTAAAGTATTGTTTCTTTATATAATTAAAAATATCAATGAAGACTTTTAAAAATATATGAAGATGTCTTGCCTGTTGCGATGTTTCTTATTGGTGTTTCGTGATTACCAACAAACAGGTCTGGATGAATCTCCGCCAACGCTTTGGACAAAGTGTGGTTGACCAGGGTGGATGCTAATTTTTTGATTAGTTCATCATCAGTTAGGCTTCCGACTTCGATGGCCTCGATTTTGATCTCATCTACTGGTTGGACTGTGGTGTTGACTGATGAGGAGTTTTGCTGGGCCAGCACTAGAGTGATACTGTCTTCAGTGGATTCATTCTGGGTTATATCTGGCAGGATTATAATTATTTTAATATTATTTAATTTTCGTATAAAATGTTATTGTACGTTATCATAATTTATTAAAATGATAGATTTTTTCTTGCCTATTGTGCTATCTCTGATTGGTATTTCTTGATCATCCACAAGCAGCTCTTGTTGAGTCTGTGCCAACGCCTTTGACAGGATGTCCTCAACGAAGGCGGATGCCATTTCTTTGATAAGTTCATCACTTGGACTTTTGTCGTCGATGGCCTCCATTTTGACATCATCCACTAGTTGGATGACTGTGGTGTTGACTGATTTGGAGTCTTTTGGTGCCTCAAGTATGGCTTCGGTGTCTTCATTGTGGACAATATCTGGTAGGATTATAATTATTGTATTATTATCATTTTGAATTATAAAAATTATTGTACATTATCATCATCTATTAAAATGATAGATCTCATACCTATTGTTTTGTCGCTGATTGGTGTTTCTTGATCACAATCAAGCAGCTCTAGCTGAGTCTGTGCCAACGCCTTGGCCAAGATGTCTTTAACAAAGGCAGATGCCATTTTTTCGATAAGTTCGTCACTTAGACTTCCTTCTGCAATGGCCTCATTGTTGACATCTTCTGGTGGGACATCTGTGGTGTTGACTGTTGAGGAGATTTGTTGGGCCTCTGCTGGAGTGGTAATGGCTTCGGTGGCATCATTGTAGATAATATCTGGTAGGATTATAATTATTTTCAATTATTATTATCACCTTAAATTATAAATATTATTGTAAATTATTATCATCTATTATAATGACAGATCTCTACCGATTGTGGTGTCGCTGACTAGTGTTTCTTGATCACCAACATGAAGCTCTTGTTGAGTCTGTGCCAACGCGTTTTCCAAGATGTCTTCAACGAAAGCGGATGCCATTTCTTCGAGAAGTTCATCACTTGGATTTTCTGCTTCGATAGCCTCTAATTTGACATCATCTACTGGTTGGATGGCTGTGGTGTAAGAGTCTTGTGGGGCCTCAACTGAAGTGATAAAGGCTTCGGTGGCTTCAATGTGGATATTATCTGGTAGGTTTATAATTTATTATTATTATTAATTATTATTATTATTATTATTATTATTATTATCATCATCATCATTTTAATTATATAAATATTATTGTACATTATCATCATCATCTATTATAATGATAAATATCTTACCTATTGTGCTATCGCTGATTTCTGTTTCTTGATTACCCAAAAGTAGGCCTTGTTGAGCCTGTGCCAACGCCTTTGACAAGATGTCCTTAACAAAAGCGGATGCCATTTCTTCGAGAAGTTCATCACTTGGATTTTCTGCTTCGATGGCCTCCATTTTGGTATCATCTACTGGTTGGATGACTGTGGTGTTAACTGATGAGGAGACTTGTTGGTCCTTGAATGGAGTGATAATGGCTTCGGCAGGTTCATTGTGGAAAATATTTGGTAGGATTATAAATATTATTATTATTATTATTATTATTATTATTAACATTTTAAATTTTAAATATTGTACATTATCATCATCATCATCTATTATAATAATATATTATTATTATTATTATTATCATCATCATCATTTTAATTATATAAATATTATTGTACATTATCATCATCATCTATTATAATGATAAATATCTTACCTATTGTGCTATCGCTGATTGCTGTTTCTTGATTACCCAAAAGTAGGCCTTGTTGAGCCTGTGCCAACGCCTTTGACAAGATGTCCTTAACAAAAGCGGATGCCATTTCTTCGAGAAGTTCATCACTTGGATTTTCTGCTTCGATGGCCTCTAATTTGACATCATCTACTGGTTGGATGGTTGTGGTGTTGACTGATGAAGAGTCTTGTGGGGCCTCAACTGAAGTGATAGAGTCTTCTGTGGCTTCATTGTGGATATTATCTGGTAGGTTTATAATTTATTATTATTATTATTATTATTATTATTATTATTATTATTATTATTATTATTATTATTATTATTATCATCATTTTAATTATATAAATATTATTGTACATTATCATCATCATCTATTACAATGATAAATATCTTACCTATTGTGCTATCGTTGATTGCTGTTTCTTGATTACACAAAAGTAGGCCTTGTTGAGTCTGTGCCAACGCCTTTGACAAGATGTCCATAACAAAAGCGGATGCCATTTCTTCGAGAAGTTCATCACTTGGATTTTCTGCTTCGATGGCTTCTAATTTGACATCATCTACTGGTTGGATGGCTGTGGTGTTGACTGATGAAAAGTCATGTGTGGCCTCAACTGAAGTGATAATGGCTTCATTGTGGATAGTATCTGGTAGGATTAAAATTATTTTATTAATATGATTTTAATTTATAAATAATTATTGTTGTACGTAATAATGGCTTCGGTGGCTTCATTGTAAATAATATCTGGTAGGTTTATACTTTGTTATTATTATTATTATTATTATTATTATTATTATTATTATTATTATTATTATTATTATTATTATTATTATTATCATCATCATCATCATTTTAAATTAATATAATATTATTGTATATTATTATCATCATGATCATCTATTATAATGATAGATCTCTACCTATTGTGGTGTCGCTGATTGGTGTTGCTTGATCAGCCACCAGCAGCTCGTGTTGAGTTTGTGCCAACGCGTTTGACAAGATATCCTCAATAAAGGCGGATGCCATTTCTTCGAGAAGTTCATCACTTGGAATTCCGTCTTCGATGGCCTCCGTTTTGACATCATCTACTGGTTGGATGACTGTGGTATTGACTGATGAGGAGACTAGTTGGTCTTCAACTGGAGTGATAATGGCTTCCGTGGCTGATTTTTGGATAATATCTGGTAGGATTATAATTATTTTATTATTATTATTATTATTATTGTTATTATTATTATTATTATTATTATTATTATTATTATTATTATTATTATTATTATTATTATTATTATTATTATTATTATTATTATTATACTTATAATGGTCACATTATTAAGAAGACACAACATTATTATTATTATCATCATTTGAAATTATATATAATATTATTGTACATTATCATCATCATGATCATCTATTATAATGATAGATCTCTACCTATTGTGGTGTCGCTGATTGGTTTTGCTTGATCAGCCACCAGCAGCTCTTGTTGAGTTTGTGCCAACGCGTTGGACAAGATGTCCTCAACAAAGGCGGACGCCATTTCTTCGAGAAGTCCATCACTTGGAATTCCGGCTTCGATGGCCTCTGTTTTGACATCATCTACTGGTTGGATGACTGTGGTATTGACTGGTGAGGAGACTTGTTGGTCCTCAACTGGAGTGATAATGGCTTCGGTGACTGATTTTTGGCTAATATCTGGTAGGATTATAATTATTTTATTATTATCATCATTTTAAATTAATATAATATTATTGTACATTATCATTATCATGATCATCTATTATAATGATAGATCTCTTACCTATTGTGGTGTCGCAGATTGGTGGTGCTTGATCAGCCACCAGCAGCTCTTGTTGAGTTTGTGCCAACGCCTTTGACAAGATGTCCTTAACAAAGGCGGATGCCATTTCTTCGAGAAGTCCATCACTTGGACTTCCGACTTCGATGGCCTCCATCTTGACATCATCTACTGGTTGGATGGCTGTGGTATTGACTGATGAGGAGTTTTGTAGGGCTTCAACTGGAGTGATAATGGCTTCATTGTGGATAATATCTGGTAGGATTAAAATTATTTTATTAATATGATTTTAATTTATAAATATTATTGTATGTTATCATCCTCTATAATGATCAATTTCTTACCTTTTGTAATATCGCTGATTGGTATTTCTTGATCATCCACAACCAGTTCTTGTTGAGTCTGTGCCAACGCCTTTGACACGATGTCCCCAACAAAGGCGGATGCCATTTCTTCGATAAGTTCATCACTTGGTGGACATCCGTCTTCGATGGCCTCGATTCTGACATCATCTACTGGTGGGACGTCAGTGGTGTTGAGTGATGAGGAGTGTTGTTGGGCTTCAATTGGAGTGATGATGGCCTCAGTTGCTTTATTGTGGACAAAATCTAATGTAGGATTATAATCATTTTATCAATATTGTCATTTTAAGTACTAGGCCTTTATACAATTATCATCATCATCATCATCATTATTTAGTTATGACCATAAAAAGTAAGTAGTATTTGGGTTTTTCAAAAAAAATCACTGATTGTTGACACAATTATTGTTAAAAGCTACTCCAAAAGAAATGTTATTTTTGAAAATTGAATTTAATATTAAAATCTCAAGGTAAAAGAGTTAATTCAAGAAAGAAATGTCTTGCCTGTTGTGGTGTCGCTGATTGGTGTTTCTTCATTACTGTCAAGCAGGTATTGTTGACTGTCTGCCAATACCTTCCTGACAATGGTTGATGCAAATTCTTTGATTCGTAATTCATTAATTTGATTTTCAACTTCGATGGCCTCAATTCTAACATCCTCTACTGGAGTGGTATCTGAGGTGATGAGTGAGGTGTTTTCTCTTGCCTTATTAGGAGTGAGTGTATTACGTTGTGGATATTGGCTAATAATATCTTTTATGTTATTATCTTTAGGAGTTAAGTCCCTAGAGCTGCCCTCTACTCGGCCAAGTGGTTTGTTAGCTCCTTGTACTGTGTCATTTTTGGAGGGTTTGTTTGAGGAGGTGCTCTTCAATTTAAATTTATTCTGAGATGATTTTGATAACTTTTTATTCTTTCTGCTTTTTGTAGAGTTAGCATCTGTGAAAATAAAATAAAATGGCGGTGCATTTTGTACATTAATTAGTGTGCCTATTACTTTATGATCTTATTCATTATTCCATTCCATACTCTAATGCCTTAAAATATGTATTCATTTTCATTTACAGTAATTTAAGGTCAAATTTATTTGGGTCGTAAAATGGCTAAAAAATGTGTGATAAACATACAAAACAGTATAAAATATCTATTTATAAGTGAAGTGTATTTTTAAACACAGAGAATAATGGTAAAAAAAAAATAATAATAACAATAACAACAACAACGACAACAACAATAATAATAATAATAATAATAATAATAATAACAATAATAATAATAATAATAATAATAATTAATATTAATAGTATCATTAATATTTTATTATAGACCTATTATTAAGTTAATTAAGTTATTAAGTAATTAATTTTTATTTTTATATAAATATATATAAATATAAATCATTTAAATATTAATATAATTTTAAAAATATACTATTATTTTAATTGGTACTAACATTAATATATCGATTAACAAATACACTACGATTCACAATGAAAATAATGATGAATTCATTAAGATTATTCCTTAGTGTTATATATATATATATATATATATATATATATATATATATATATATGTCTC